ATATATATATATATAGCGGTTGTAACTTCTTTCAATTTTTTTCCCTCTGATGATCATACTTGGAGAAATTTTTAGGCATGTTATAAATTTGATATTACCCATTATTTATAGTCAGTTTGATGATGTAATGCCATCACTACATCTTTGTTTGGCATTTTTCAGGGGATGAAAGACACTTTAAGCTCAGTTATTATGTTGGTTATTGTTTTTTACATTGATGAATGAGGGTTTTGATTGACTTTTTATGCCATATCATTATGTTTTATCTGTTTGTACAATAAGTTTCTGGATTCAAAAGCATTGGATGATGCACCAAAGTGTATTAAGTTGGCCTAACCACTTCAACTTTTTCTTCTGAAATATGAATATACTGGTTATATATGCTTATGCATGGGAATAAATTTGTGTATAGGGAGGTATAAATGCTGCATTGGGAAATATGAGTGAAGATGATTGGAGGTGGCACATGTATGACACTGTTAAGGGAAGTGATTGGCTTGGTACGAATACGCTAAATCTCTTTTTTTTTTTTTACTTTGGATTATGTACTGCAAAATTTTCATATAACTAGAAGTTGAGTTGTTTGCATTATAAATATAACGGCAGGAGGGAATTCTTTTAGTATTGTTCCTTCTTTTTTATTTTATTTTTGTGGATGTGAAAAGGCAAGTTCTGTGTCCTACAGGGGACCAAGATGCCATCCAATATATGTGTAGGGAGGCACCAAAAGCAGTCATTGAGCTTGAGAACTATGGATTGCCATTTTCACGAACTGAAGATGGGAAAATATACCAGCGTGCATTTGGTGGTCAGAGCTTGAACTTTGGGAAAGGTTAATGCAGATTTTGGAGGAGGAATATTATCTTTTTTCCTCTGATAGTTCTGATTTTGACTTCCTTATGTTGCTATGCTATAGGTGGCCAGGCATATCGTTGCGCATGTGCTGCTGATCGAACTGGGCATGCTTTATTGCACACTCTCTATGGCCAAGCTATGAGGCATAATACCCAGTTTTTTGTGGAATATTTTGCATTAGATCTATTAATGAACAATGATGGTAAGGTGCTGTAGAAAGTAGTTTGCTTTTAATGAACAATTTGCGATCAATTAATTGAACATGGTATCAGCATTCATAGGAAAGGATTTAATGAGCATATGATGACTAGAAAATTTCCTGCATAATGCTGCTGGAAAATTATATCCTTCAAGTAGATTTTATGCATTCGCATTTGCATCTTTGAGTCTAAATACTTTTTGTTTTCAATTGTTCAAATTCTCCTGTATTTGTTAATAATGCACCAAATTCTAACAATACTAGTACCAGTCAAGAAAAGGAACCACAGTTTTACCTAATATATAATACAAAGATAAATAGTGCGCATAATTTTTTTTCTTTCAGTAGCTTTTATCCTGCATGACAATGGCTATGAAAATAAACATCAAATAGGAAAACATGAATTTGAATGAATAATACCTCACTATGTTGGTATGTCCAAAATGGTATGAAATCAATTTCAGAAGTCAAGATTAAAACATGGGGATTAGTCACTTGTTTTTCCAAGACAATCTGGAAAATAGAGTTGACCAATATAATGTTATAGTATAAAGTAAAAACTGATACCGCTGTCTTTTATGCATAACTTGGAAATCTAAAGAATATGGTTTTCCTTCTCACTTTGCCTGCTGACTCCTTTGGTCATATTATGGCCAGAATGCAAGCAGCAAACAAAGTAAGAGAAGAAAAAAAGTAATGAGTAAAATTGTTAGAAAATTCACTGTCATACGTCACTGTTATAGACCATTTTTATGATCAGTACACCAAAAACTAAGTTGCCTTTATTTTTATCTATATTTAATATTTAAGATGTGACATTATGTTGGCTTCATTTTCTTATCACTTATTTTTCTCACATCTATCATATTACTTGTCCTTCATATTCATATATATTTGTTACTTGTTTGTGATGCTCACTGCTTTCTCAACCTTTATAGTGGTGAAAAAAGAAAAGATGATGCTGTCTGTGTGTTGGATTTGATGATAAAGTTAACTAATTTTCCATATTGGAAATACAGGTAGTTGCCAAGGAGTGATTGCCTTGAATATGGAGGATGGAACATTACACCGTTTCCAAGCTGCTTCGACAATTTTGGCCACAGGGGTACATGATTTTCTTTTGAATGTTGGATATCAATGTTTTTAGTTATACTACAATTCTTGTGGTCATATGTGTGTCAATCTTCTGTTTCACATCAGGGCTATGGTAGAGCATACTTTTCTGCAACCTCAGCACATACATGCACTGGAGATGGCAATGCCATGGTTGCACGTGCTGGGATCCCACTCGAGGTCTCCTTTTGGGCTTTGCAAATTTCATTATTGAGCTGTAATCTTATATATCAAGTATTTTACCGCTCATATTTTGCTGTCATAAATTCTGTAGGATTTAGAGTTTGTGCAATTTCACCCGACCGGCATATATGGAGCTGGCTGCCTTATCACAGAAGGTAGGTGTTTTTAAGTTCTTAATTGCATAGAGGAATGCCTCTGTTGTAACTATAATGTAATTGGCCTATTATGTTGAAATATATAGTTCTTCTTATCTTCTTTCTTGGACCTTGTAGGTTCTCGGGGTGAAGGAGGAATTCTTAGGAACAGTGAGGGTGAGAGGTTTATGGAACGCTATGCTCCTACAGCGAAGGATCTTGCATCAAGGGATGTAGTTTCTAGATCAATGACTATGGAAATCCGGGAAGGCCGTGGAGTAGGTATGTTGGCTTTAAATTGACATTTTTATGTTTTGCTAGAAAGTTTAAATTAGAATATAGGGTAAATTACAATAAAATCTCCTCCTAAGGTTTCACGAGATTGCAGATAAACCCATCTTTTACCCCTACACCAACTCTCCTTAATTATCTGAAAAATATTACACTAATACCTCTTAGACATTACATTGACTTCTCTTAATTGTGTGAAAAACGTTGCATTGTGTCTCTCTCTTTAAAAGATGTTAATGTGAACGTTAAAACAGTAGGGGGTTATATGCAATCTCACGAAACCTCAGGGAATGGTAGTGTAATTTAAATTAAATATAACCATGTTATTTAGTTTGTAGTTGTGCATAATTGTTGCAATACTACTTTACTGGAAACCAGTGTTTGAGCATATTGAGTTTCTATCTTCTAGAAACTAGAAATACACGTTATTTATATATCCTGTATTGGAAAATATTAGATCTTCCAGTTAAGTTGGACATTTTGTCAATATTGTCAGTGCAAATTGTTTGCAGGACCCCTGAAAGATCACATATATCTCCACTTGAATCACTTACCCCCAGATGTTCTCAAGGAGAGACTACCTGGTATCTCTGAAACAGCTGCTATTTTTGCTGGTGTGGATGTTACTAAGGAACCTATTCCTGTTTTGCCAACAGTGCATTACAACATGGGTGGTATTCCCACGAATCATCATGGAGAGGTATAATGTTAAAACTAATAGTTTAACCTCCAAGTGGAAAAAAGAAATGAAAAGAAAGAAAAATATAAGAAATTGAGATTAAAAATAAAAAAAATGTAACAAATAGTCACTGTCAAGTCTATATATAGTATTTTCTAAAGCAACTATTTATGGTTATTATAAATTTAGCATTCTGCTTCTTTGATACATGATACTTGAGCAGAGCACATACCGACCGATAATTTTTTGGGTTGGTTTTGATAACTCTATTTATATTAGCTTGTAGTTGAGTACTCTTAATTAAAAGAGAGAAATCAAGCAAGAGAGAGAGAGAGATTGTGCTAGAATGGATTGGATTATTCTGTTATTAAAATATTTTTCTATTTAATTAGATGTTTTCTAAACATCATTGGAACAAATAGAAACGGATACAAAGATCACTCTGGCATCTTTTTGTGTTGAAAAATGCTGTGGTCGTGAAGTTATTTGGAAACCTGTGATTGATGCCATGTTGGGGGCTATGGATTTATTTATTTTACCTAAATGTCATTCTAATATTTTTGTGAACCATTTTGTATCTGTGTTATTACTTCATTCCCATTACTATAAGATATGTGTGTTGTAACTAGCTTGAATCATTTCACTTCTATCTATGAGGTTGACTCTGGCACAAATCTATTATTTTATTGCAATTCTTCCTCTAGTCAGTAATTATTATTCCCTATTTTATTTCTCAATTCGCTTCTCCTGCAATTTGAATATGCATGTGTAGCATTTGGCACTCTCTGTATTGTTGTGTCTGTCGCATTGCAAATAGTGAGATCTCTTTTCGTTAATTTTTGCTCATGGCATACTTGATTACTTGTTTGGATTTAATGAAGTCAATCTTATACTTTCATGTATGCATTTAGTATTAGAGATGCAAACTTACTCTTTGGATTTGTTATATTTCATTTCATTTCATTTTTTTTAATCAAAAAATGAAAATGAGAAAAAAAAAAAGTTGTTGTCAAATATGACTTTTCTCTTGTTCAGGTGGTTACTATTAAAGGTGACGATCCAGATGCAGTAGTTTCTGGATTAATGGCTGCTGGGGAAACAGCCTGTGCTTCAGTCCATGGTGCAAATAGGCTTGGTGCAAATTCACTTCTTGATATTGTTGTTTTCGGTAGAGCTTGTGCAAATAGAGTTGCAGAAATCCGTAGCCCAGGCAAGATTCATTTCCAGTTACTAAATAAAATGTGCTCGCTGAAATGAGGTGATAAAATTGCAGCTGTTTTACATTTTGCAGGAGAGAAACAAAAGCCTTTAGAGAAAGATGCTGGTATGAAAACAATTACTTGGCTGGACAAATTGAGAAATTCAAATGGGTCATTGCCAACTTCAAAAATTCGGTTGAATATGCAACGAATAATGCAGAACAATGCTGCTGTATTCCGTACCCAAGAAACATTAGAAGAAGGTAGTATTCTGTTGATCAATATTACTTGATCCTCTTATCCCCTTCCTTTTACCAAGGTACATATTGCACCTTTACTGCTCGATAATTATCTTCTCTATCTGAATTTCATATTCCCTGTGACAGGTTGTCAATTAATTGACAAAGCATGGGAGAGCTTTCATGATGTCATGTTGAAGGATCGAAGTTTGATATGGTAAAACTTCTTTGGCCAATGTCACTTGGATTCCTATTATTTCAAGGAAAAAAATCTACTGGCTAATTTTAAGGGTTTCTTGGCTCAATATTTTCAGGAACTCTGACTTGATTGAGACCATTGAGTTGGAAAATCTTTTGATAAATGCCTGCATCACCATGCACTCTGCTGAAGCAAGAAAAGAGAGTAGAGGTGCTCATGCTCGTGAGGACTTCACGGTCAGTATGAACTATTTTGTCATTTATTGTGTGAATTTCACCCATTAATAAGAAGCAGGGCTGACTAAATATGTTGCTTGCTTTTAATTTACAGAAAAGAGATGATGAGAACTGGATGAAACATACTTTAGGGTAAGCCAAGCCATGTTTCAATTAATTTGCTATTTATATCAGTAGACATTTGGATTTAGTTGGTTCTCTTCTTTTCCTGTGGGTATCGTGATCTTTTAAGTGTATACAAGCCTGTTGATTCTTAAGTGCATCTATCAGAGCTTGGGCGTTGATTCTCTTGTATTGGTAAAGAAGCTGAATAGTCAGTAAACCAGTGACTGAGTAGAATAATATTCTTTATTGAAGTTATCTGGTATTTGTACTGTCTTTTAAATTAAGTTATCTGGTATTTGAAAATTCTATATTCACTAGGGTTTAGAGTTGCAAGACTAAGAACAATGACATGATTATTTTGCTATCTACTAGAGAACTTGAAAAGCTTGTAACAGTCACGTGGGCAGTGAGGTATTTTGATTGTGTTGCTAACCATGGGAATAGTATATATTTTGGTTAGTGATCCATTCTATTAGTTTTTTTTTTTTTTTTTGTTATTTGTCAATGCAGACATGTAATATGGGTGCAGGGCTTGTTGGGTCATCTAGCCTAAAAATGAATTTGGTTTGCTGGATTTGTTACAGTAACACTTTCGATGATAAAATACTTATGTCCTGCGAGTTGTTTCTGTTAGCTGAGCTTTTGTGTATTTATTTGCAGATATTGGGAGAATGAGAAGGTCCGGTTAGGTTACAGACCGGTGCACATGAATACATTGGATGATGAGGTTGAATCATTCCCTCCTAAAGCTCGTGTTTATTAATATACTCGCTAAATTATATTATGGGTGATTTATGCGGATTGTTTCACGAAGTATGTAGAATGGAATGTAATGACAAGTGCAAGTGAAAATGGTTCAATAAAGTGTCGTTGATGCATGGCTTTGATGATAATTGTTTATTCATCTTCAGTGCTGAACTAATCTATTCCGGGGCATCCTCACTGACATAGATGTATGTATTTAAAGTTGAGAATAATAGCCATAAATCCCAAAGTGTTACTTTGTTGATCAGTTGACTAATGTAATCTGCTAAGTTGATTATCTGCAAGCGGGTAGTTTTAATCTGTTTTATATCCATTTTTTCCTTCTAATTTGCTTTACTAAGTTTTACTCGTGTGTGTCTAGACCCGAGCACTATAGACCTCAAACAACAGCAAATTTAAACAGTATGGTATTTCTACCCTATTTTTTTTCTTGTCTTTTTATTGTCAGCTCGTCACTTACCCCATGAATAGGAAATGAAATATTTAAATTTATTTTACAACATAAAACTGAATTTATTTTTATTACTATTGACTAAATTTACATATATAATAGAAACAATGTCAAATTAGTACTTATAATTTTGAGTCAACTAATAACATGATGTTATAATATTATAAATCGTTATAATAAAATAATTTAAAGGATATAAAAATGAGCATGATATTCATGAAAATTAAATAGTTAAATAATAATGATTGATGTATAGATTTTTTTTATGGAGAAAATATATCATGGTTGAAGTAAAATTATATTAGAATGGTAGTTTTTGTCATCATCACATAACAACACAAATCATCAAACAACTTAGAACATGCTTAAAAGTAAGACAAACAATGTTACTATTATTTTTAACAACAAAAATTTTTGTCTTCGAAATTTGTTTACTTAGGAAAAGGTATAGGTATTAATCTTTGATCCTATTATCAAGCTTCCTTGTAACCTCATCAATGGTAACATTGCAAACAATTTTCACTAACTTGATGGATTTGTATCTCAATATTTTAGTTTGTGATCAACAACACTAGTTAGTCTATTCTCATATGATAGATTCCTCTTGATTTGTATCACATCTAATTCTATTACATGACTTGCAATACATGACTAGTGTCATGTGTTTCATGATTAGGCAACATTAAACACATTGAGTAGTTTTGACAAAAATGGAAGTAAAACCAATCGATAAGGAATTTGACCTACACAACAAATGATCTAATAAGGTCCAATAAACTTAGGAATTAGTTTGTTTGACTTAATTGTCCTTTTCACTTCAGTTGTGGGTGTCACCTTCAAAAACACATAATCTTTTTCAGCAAACTCCAAAAACTTTCTTTTCTGATTTACATATGACTTATGTTTGCTTTGGACAGTTTCCATTCACTCTTGAATCAACTTCACCTTTTATGTAGTTTGTAAAACTAATTCAAGTCCAGCCACCACTAATTCACCTTCCTTATACCAATATAAAGGAGTTATACATATTATTCCATATAAAGTTTCAAAAGGTGTGATACCAATACTGACATGATAATTGTTGTAGGTAAACTTCTATAGTAGTAAAACTTCTTCCCAACAACTAAGATGATCTAACACAAGCTCTCCAAAATCTCCCAAGGACTGAATTGTCCTCATAAATTGTCCATCTGTTTTCTAGTGATAAGTGGAACTCAACCTTGACCTTGATTTTAGGGCCTGATGTAAACTTTGCCAAAATCTATACGTGAACATTGGATCTTGGTTTGAGATAATATTGGAAGGCAATCAATGCAATCATACTATCTTCCTAATGTACAATTGTATCAACTTCTCTAAGGATCACTTGATGTTAATAGGAAGAAAGTGAGCACACTTTAACAACCTATCAACTATCACCCAAATAACATTAATATTCTTTGCTTATATAGGCAAACCAACAATAAAGTCCATAATAATGATATCCCACTTTCACTTAGGGATCTCTACAAATTCCACCTAGTTTATGATGTTCCACCTTAGCCTTGTAACAAGTAAGACAAACTACCACATATTTTGTCACTTCCCTCTTTATATCAGACCACCAAAACATTTTCTTGAATTCGTGGTACATCTTAGTCATGTTAGGATGCAAACTAAGTCCACTTTTATGACCTTTCTCCAAAACCATTTTATTGAGTTCAAAATCTTGAGGTAGATAAATCATGCCCATAAATCTCAAAATCTCATCATTACTAACTTCAAACCTTTACACCTTCTTAGAACCCAACAATCCTCTTGTCTTCATCAAATCTTGATCTTGCATCTGCTTCTTCACTTTCTCCAAGAACTCATTATGGTAATCATCTCATAGCTAATGTGATCCTGAGAGATCATCACACAAGAACTCAAATATCTGAACTTCTCTACTAACTCTAACTTCTTAACAATCATAGATGGTATGTGAATGAATGTTTTGCTCAAAACATCTACCACTACATTGACCTTACTAGGATGGTACATGATCTAAAAGTCATAATTTTTCATAATTTTTGTCTATCTTCGTTATCTCATATTCAACTCCTTTTAATCAAAAAGATACTTTAAACTTTTATGATCATTGAAGACATCAAACTTTGTTTCATAAAGATATTGTCTTTCAATCTTCAAGGAAAACACCATAGCTACCACCTTCATAAGAACTAGCAAGAACTAAAAATTTTCCATATTCATGAAGATATCATACTAATCTTTCATAAATTTAATTACGAAATATATATATATATATATATATATATATTTAAAATATATTATTAAATTAAAAGCATAAAATCACAAAAATAATATATGTTTAATATAATACTATTTCATAAATACATATAACTTTCGTACAATGCTTTATAATTTTGTTGTTTCTGATTGTACACGTTAACGAGCCCAACATTCAAAAGACCCAGCGACTACAATCAATACCCAATAG